ATAGCCCCCCATTGCTCTGAGGGTGTCTTCTAGTCACCAGGGCCCCGGGGCGGCCTGTTCCAGACTTCAACTGCTTCCAGCCACGTCCCCTGCAGCCGCTGGCCTGGAAGGCAGAGCGAACGTGCCTTCGGGTGGCCAGTGCCACATCCCGTTCTCCCTGCCACCCCCTTCCTGAGCACTTCCTGGGTGCAGGCCTTGGCCAGTTTTGGAGAGGGAGGAGCTCCCACCCCGGGGATATGAAAGCTGGGGTTGGGGCACCTGCCCTGCGGGACCAGGTCTCTGAGGCGCCAGCCTTCAGTGTCCCCCTCTGGTAGGAGGGGGCGCTTCCGAAGTCCCCTGGCCCCTCGGCCTTCCAGAGCCTGCATCTCCTTTGTCCCCCCGCACCTGCCCGCGGCACCCGCCAGAGCCTACTCTGGTCGTGAGCTTCTAGCCTTCGGTGAGGAGGCTGAGGCTGGAGCTGTGGCCGTACTCGTGGCTCCCATGGCCAGGCGCCATCTCTTTGGTCCTCCTGGGCCTGGCTAGGATGCCTTCGTAGCGCCGCAGTGACGGCCTGTCCACCGCGGGGCAGCCTCCCTGCGAGCCGGAGCCCGTCCCCCTTGGTCAGGCCCTGCCAGGCTGGTGCAGTGGGCAGCCCCAAGCACATCCGAAGTGTGTCTGTGGAGATGCCACCTCTGCCAGTCTGAGCGTAGCCCGGCTCGCCCCCGCCCCTCGCCGTGCGTTGCCGGGCCCAGCACGGCACACGTGGTCAGCAGGCAGCCTAGAAGGGCCCTGACTCGGACTCAGGCTCCCCCGGTCTCCCCGCCAGGCCCGAGTGCTGTTTCAGCTCCCTGCGGAGGCTAGATGCCCAGGCAGCCACGGAGAAGTTCAACCAGGACCTGGGTTTTCGCATGCTCAGCTGCGGGAGGACGGACCTCGTCACACAAGCCATCGAGGCCCTGGGACCCGACGGGGTCAACACCATGGACGACCAGGTAGTGCCCAAGAGCCCACCAGGCCTCGGGGCCGGGTCGGGAGCGCTGACCGCTCTAGGTGAGCCTGCGGAGTGGTGCCAGCCGCGCCCGGCGGGAGTGCAGACAGGAGGCCTCCTCAGGTCGGGGGCCTGTGTACCTGGGCTCTGCCGCCCTGCCTAGGAGGCAAGAGACTGGGGAAAAGCCCAGAGGGGCCACCGGGCCAAGCCGGGGGTGGAACTGCTGGCGAGTGCATTAGCCTGGTGTCCTTTCAGGCCGCAGCAGGCCACAGAGCCCTCGCCCCCACGGACTCAGCGTTCTAGGGCAGAGACAGATGGCAGGGGAGGTGGGCAGGAGGTGCGGAGGTCACGCTGAGGAGCGTGAAGCAGAAAACAGAAGAAGTGTTGGGGGTTTACAAGTTTAGGTAGAATTTCACTCGAGGTGTTCTGTTGTGTTTTTCTGCTAAGAGGCACATGCGCTCACCAGAGAGAAAGAGGGAACACTCCCCACGGAGCCTGATCACACTGCCGTCTCTTCTCCTGCTCCCCCTCCTTTGGGGACTTTGGTCACGCACCCACACGTACCTGGCGTGTTTCTCAAGCGTCTGGTCCAGGACTCAAACCATGCCATGGGCCATGTGGGCTCTGGCTGTGCTATCCACTAGGCCGTGCAGCCAGCCCTACCTCGGGGCATGCCCGGCTCTCGGTGGCTAACAGTTACGTAGCCTTAACTTCAAGGGGTCCTCTAAAGGTTCGTGCTTGCCACCATGGAGCTAAAGCGCCATTAGCTTGGGGCAGGTCTGACACCACCAGGCTCCCTGTCATGCCCCTTCCGTGAGCTTTTCAAGAGTGGACAGCGCCCCGGGTCACACAGGATGACCGTCCTCCAGCCAATGTGCCCGGGGCCAGACGCAGTTCAGATTTGGGGTGTCTGGGTTTTGTTTTGTTTGCTTCCGATGGGGGAGTATTTGCATATGCGTAACGAGCTTCCTGGGGTGGGTCCCAGGGCTGATCCTGGGCCGCGCACGTGACCCGAGGCGAGTCTGTACCAGGTTCCCATGTCGCAGGGGCCTTGTAGTTGTGTCATTGCCAGAGCATTAAGCACTCTCTAGAGAGACAGAGCACCCCCTGGGGCGTGGCCGTGCTGCACTCTCCCTGCATTCTGCCATCCTGTCTGGATTTGGGGTGCACACACATAAGCCACCCAGACTGGGAATTGAACCCCGTTTGGCGGCGTGGGAGCTACTCCCTTAACCTCTAGGCCACAGGGCTGGCCCATCGTACAGGGCTTTTAAGGCCGTTAAAGAAACGCGTGTCACCCATGAATGCACATATGCGAGGGAGAACCGGAGACGGCACCCCGACAGGGCCCCGCTGCCACACCCTGATGCCCACCTCTGCCTGGACGTGAAGCAGAACCTGCCCGTGGGTCAGGTTGTGGAGCGTCATATCCCACCCCTCGGCCACCGTCCAGCCACGGGTCGTAGCCTCTGGACTGTGAGCTGCATGTGGACCCCACCATGGCAGCTTCTTGGAGCACGTTGGATTTGGGACTAGGGATGGTGACGGTAGTCGTACCAAGGCACAGAGGCTGCTGTGTCCAAAGTCACACTGGAGGGAGAGCGCGGCACTCCGACTGTGGGTCCTGGCCACTGCACTTTACCCGTTCCGTGCCTGGCAGTGTTTGGGGGGCACTCGCAGTGCACGGAACAGAACCGCACGGTGGGGAAGATCGCACAGTCACATGGGGAAAGGCGAATAGCCATGGGGTGGCACGGCCTTCTCAGGTGTCATGTCAGCATGACCTGGAGGGGCAAGGAGGCATCAGGCAGACCATGAGGCCAGGTGGGACGGGGGCTGCCAGGGAAGGCTTCGGCTGCTCCAAGCTGGGGGTGGGGCACAGCTGGGATTAGGCAGAGAGCAACAGTAGAGCATTCCACGGGGTGGTGAGAGCCAGTGTGGAGGTGCAGGGAGGGCAGGGAGAGCTGGGAGCAGCAGGGCACGCAGGGCATGCTGGGGAGGTGCTGCTCTGCTCCCCCCTGTGACGTCATTGTTGCTCTGCTGTCGATGTGACATGTCTCCGAAACTGCCGCCCAGCCTCCTCCGCTCAGCCTCACCCTGTGCTGAGGTGAGGACCAGGACCGGGACAGCAGGGCAGGCGTTCCTCCGCAGGGGCCATGGCTGGTCCGCCCTGAGCTGGCGCAGAGGGTGGGACAAGCCAGCCCCGTGCTCGAGAGCGGCGAGCGGGCCGGCTCTGCTGTTCTGCGCTGACTTCTCCCCATGCCTGCCCAGTCTGTGCCCGGGCCCGGTGACAGCGGCCCACCTCCGCGGTGAACTGCAGCCATTGCTGCCCGCCAGCTCTAGGCGAGGACGAGCAAGGCGGGCCTGTCTGCGCACTGACCACCTCGCCCCCAGGTCCCTCCGCTCGGTTCTGGAAAAGCCTGCGCTGCCCCGATGATTGGCTGTCTAGTGGCTTCTCCGTCCTGCCCGACGCCCAGGCTGTGGCTTAATGGCTGCGTAGACCTGGCCGGTCTGAGTTCTGCTCTTGCTGGTTGAGACCTCAGGCAGGGCTTCCTCTCTCAGAGGGCCCCCAAGAACTCCCCGTGGAGTGTGGTGGTCGTGGCCAGTGCCCATCACGCGCAGCGATTCCCTGCACAGGCCTGGGCTGGTGTGGTGACAGCGTACGGTGGCAGGTCCCGTCAGTGCTGAGCACTCCCGGAGTCACACCACACGACAGCCCTGCCGGGTAGACACCCTTGTCCCCACCCTAAAGGAGCAGCCGCAGCGTGGTGAGGGTCCCCAGCCTAAAGGAGCAGCCGCAGCGTGGTGAGGGGAGGACACCATGGAGTACACAGCGCCCACGGCAGC